AACCTCGTTGCAGATATTTTTAAAACAATTGACATAAAGCACTGTATCCATCCTTAAAGAATTAAAATAAATTGAAACAAAACAATTGACATCTCTTATGCCAACTATGAATATAGAAATTCCCATATTCTATACCGATGTGGACAAATTCTTGTTGTTTTATTTCTTAAAGATAACTAGATTGCTTCATGTCAATTGTTTTAAGAATATCTGCAACGAGGTTTCCTTTCTATACGCTTTTTCTGTGCTTCTTTTGTTGTTCTATGCGTTACGTCAAAGTTTTTAATATATATTAACCTTATTTTATTCATTATTTTTAAAATATTGACAAGAGATGTAGTTTGATAAAGTTTTAAGTGTATGATGTCCTTTCTGAATTACTATAATACCTACCGTGCATATTGTCAAGTTTACTTGATACTTTACTAATACAATCTTATAATTTGCAGATTTGCAAGTATTTGAAGATTTGGAAAAGCACAGAATCAATTTGGATATCTCATTGTTTTATATATTAAGTACATACATAAGAGAAGAACTTACAAGATTTTAAAAGGGATCATGGCAATTTTTTATGATATTTAAACGAGCAAAAATCTCCCAGCTTTCTTCTATTATAATGGTAAACTTCAATAATTCACATTTTCCCTTAGTAGATTGTTTATTCATTGTTTTAATATATTGTTTGCATAATAGTGTAAAGAAATGTACTTGCTTTTTTCATTTACATATACATTAATAAATGTGAGAAAAAGGAATTCAATTCTTACATGTTATTCTATTAGTTAGTATTCATTCAATATTTACAATTATATAACTGTAATTTATATATTGTAATAATTACACCTTTACAGTGTAGTTTTCATGGAACAATTGTATAAAAATTGCATAGAAATTATAGCATCAATTAATTAAAAATTATTTGAATGCACTAATGCACTTTTCTTATATTACAGTTAAATTTTACCAACGAAATCATCACTATGCAGGAGCATYAAAATAATTGCATAAAAATGATAAAAATGTTGAAATCAGAAAGATGTAATCGTAAATTTTATTGATTAGATGAATTATTTCTTTTTTACACATGCGCAACGTTCGGAAAGACATATAAACAATTTTCGATAGAAAAAACTTTTTATGTGACAACATCTCAGTCTAACAGAAGATTTTGAAGAGGAAGGAGCATCGACAGTTAACTCCGTGCTTTCGGATTCAAATTTATATTTTCATCGATTATTTAACAATTATTTTTTTACTCTAATAAACTTTCTTTATATTTCAGATTGTTTAAACATATATATACTAGTATAAGCATTACACACTTATTAACATACTTTAAAAAGAAAATGATTTCGATGTGATATTCTTTCCGATGAAAATTTCCCCCTCCGAAGTCACCACTGCACAGGAATGTTAAAATAAATTTACATTTATTTAAACAATTACGTAAAAATTAAAAGTTTGAAGAATCAGAACGTTATTATCTTAAATTTAATTGATTACATTAATTATTCCTTTCTTAGAAATGCGCAACGTTCGGAAAAACAAATAAACAACTTTCGATAGCAAAAACTTTTTTATGGGACAACATCTCAGTCTAACAGAAGGTTTCGAAGAGGAAGAAGCATCGACAGTTAAGTCCGTGCTTTCGGATTCAAATTTTTATTTTCATTGATAATTAACAATTATTTTATTATTCTAATAAACTTTTTTTATATTTCAGATTGTTTAAACATATATGTACTAGTATAAGCATTACACAATTATTAACATACTTTAAATATTACGATTTCGATGTGATATTCTTTTCGATGAAAATTTCCCCCTCCGAAGTCACCACTGCACAGGAACGTTAAAATAAATTTACATTTATTTAAACAATTACGTAAAAATTAAAAATTTGAAAAATCATAACGTTATAATCTTAAATTTCATTGATTAGATGTATTATTCCTTTTTTACACATGCGCAACGTTCGGAAAAACATATAAACAACTTTCAATAAAAGTAATTTTCTAGTGGATTTTGACTCAGTCTATCAGAAGACTTCGAAGAAGACGGTGCTCCTAACATATATACCGATCTTTTTAACATCAATATACATTTCTACCAATTATTTAACAATTATTTTAATACTTTTATATACTCTCTTTATATCACAGATTGTTTTAACACATATGTACTGTTTTAAGCATTACATACTAAGTAACATACTTTAAATAGAAAATAATTATAATATTTTTTTATTTTATGTTTTTAGAGAGATGAATTTTTTAAACTTGATTTCGTTACTGGTCTTATATTTAAACATCAAATTTTTCGTTAACTCACATTGGTTTTCAATCAGTTCTCCGTTAGACATTGCCATGTAATCATTGATACGTGTTATCGGCGAATTGATGAAATAGTTATGGTGGGGACTAAGAGTGGTGTTCTTTAAGAAACGTTCTCGTTTTGATTATCTTATTTTCTTTAAATTATATTCGCATATATAATTCATGATGCACATCCCGGGTCTTCGGAAGCGGTTACCTCCTCGTGGTTAGACCTGGGCAATGGTGTTTTACTTTCAGTATAATGTTTAACATATTTAATATGTTGTACATTCCATTGCAAGTAAAATCCAGCCAAAGACCGCTTACCATAAACATTATAATTGTAATTAGTTTCTTTTAACTTCCTAATTGATATCATATTCCTTTACTCCTTTCCTTGATTCCTTCTATCCATTTAATATACAGAAACTAATTACTTTATAATGTTTGTTAATATCTTTTATATATTTGCAGGTACTATGCAACACGAACGAGAATTATTTTAATGTAATTTTCATTTTACTTTTTTTTTACAGAGAATGATTTACTGTGTTATATATGAACCGCTCTGCTCTATTACGTTCTTACATCTTATTTACCGTAATCCAAAGAGATAAAATTACATAATTTAAACACTCGATAGGTAATTTATCTATCTAATGTTGATGTTGATCGTTTTATATATATATCATATAAAGAAAAACAAAACACGAATGGTATGAGGAATCGTTTTACATCGTCGTTAGATATTCTAAAATGTTTAGTCTTGTCAAGTTATGTTAATTACAAGTCCATCGATATGTCAGATATTAAACCGAGCCTGCATAATGCTAATAATCGGTAAGCTTTAAAAACAATCTTATTTTTCGATATATCATTATGCAATATGTTTTTATTAACCTATAGAAAATGGAAGATGAAAAATATTTTTCGATTTGTCCGTTTTCCACGAGTCATCTTAGACTTGATTATTTTGTCGATAAAAATAAGCGTGGCAATAATAGTTGCATCGTTCAAAATTGTCTTACCTACCGCTAAGAAAAACTTAATCGGAGAAACAGTTTTAGTAAGGAATATGTTACTTTATTTTTTATGTATATAAGTATTATGAATTTTTTTCAGTATTTTTTTACAATCATATAACTATTGTTTATAATAGAAATGTATCAGATTAATAATGAATGATTAATAATTACCGATTTAAAAAATTTCAATAATTTACATCTTAATTAATTTTGTATTTTTGAAGATTACTGGTGCTGGCCGAGGTATTGGTCGAGAATTAGCGATTCAATTAGGCTTAATGGGTTGCATAGTAATTTGTTGGGATATTAATATCGATGCGAATCGAGAGACGATGTCTGCAGTGTCAAAAAATGGTGGAGAGGTTATAATATTTCCAAAAAAAATTCTTGTTATAGTATATTAAATTAAATATATCTTTGAAGGTTTATGGTTTCGCCGTTGATGTTTCGAAAAGATTGGAAGTGCATGAAGCGTTAAGAACGATGAGAAAAATTGGAATACCTCAAGTTAGCATTTTAATTAATAATGCTGCAATATTGTATCATCGTTCTCTTCTCAATCATAGTTCCGACGATATTGAACGAACGTTTAATGTTAATGTTTTCTCGCATTTTTGGGTAATATATATTATAATAGCAAACAATTAATTTAAAATTCATTATACACTTTTTAAGAAAAAATGATATTTTATTATATACTTTTATTTGGAACTTAATGAAATTGTAATATATATGTGGAAGAGTTAGATACTTAATGAAAAATAGTTAATTTCTAATTGATTATTATAATTATACATTGTTTTTATGAAGACGATAGAGGCAATACTTCCATCAATGTTGCAACGAGGAAAAGGTCACATCGTGGCCATATGTAGTATGTGTGGAATGTACGGTGTTTCGCAGAAAGTTCCTTACTGTTCCTCGAAATTCGCTGTTCGAGGTTAATACAATGATTATATGTTAATTACATTTAAAAATAAGATAATATATATTTATATGATATTAGAAACTTTTTTTATATCGAAGGTCTAATGGAAGCTCTATACGAAGAAGTAAGAACAAATCCTTCGAAACCTGACATACATTTTACAACGATTTATCCATTTTACGTTGATACAGGATTAGCAAAGGATCCTAAGTATAGGTTTATACTTAAATATAAATACATACAAATATTTGATTTTTGCATATAAATGAAATATGAATAAAAAAAGTAAAATCGTTATCGCAAATTATCACCTAAAACAAGAATTCGTAGAAAATAAGATTAATTGAAAAAATTATTTATTTGCTCTTTTGTTTGTTTTTCTTTTTATAGATTCCCTTACATTTTCGGAATCGTTAGACCGGAATATGCAGCTTGTGAAATAATTCATGCTATTAGGAAAAATTACACGGAATATTCGATCCCACGATGTCTCCTTTCCTTGAATGCAATAAATAGGTTTTTTAGATTCTTCAATTAACTTACCGATTTATTGATTATTTAATTTTTGTATTAAGTTTAAGTTTTTCCTCTCCACATATTATTCTTTTGGAATATTTCATTCTTATTCTATTTTAGAATCATTCCGGAGTCTGCGATGCGATTGATCCTTGATTTTCTTGCAAACGTCGATCGTCGAATCATCTAAAAAATTAATTGCAACTGATTATTGCATAACAATTTAAAAAGTTATACAAAAAAAGAAAAGAAAAACTTATTTGTTAGAAAAGATTATGACGCGTAGTTGGATCTCTTCGGTCGTGACCATTTCACTATTAATTTTAAATAATTGCAACTTTTTCTGTATGTTATTCAACGAGTTTGATATTATAAAAACGATCATTAAACAAGCGTTGACGAGTTCCGAAAATGGATCGTGTATTTAATTTGTGTAAAAAACAAATCATTCGATAAACAAAAAATTCTTTTTCCAGGCATTTAAATTAATTAATAAACATTCAGTATATATTCTATGGGCTCTTGTATAAGAAAAGAAATATATAAAGGCACATAATATTTAAAGCTTTATTAAAAAAATTTTATGATAAAAAAAAAAAAGAATGTTATAACGAATAACATGTAATATTAAACAACATTTCTATATGAAATTCGATAAAATAACTCGATCGAGATACGAAGACTTAATAAACACTTAAATATATTAGTCATGTTTCATGGTACATACCTTGCGGCCATCTATCTTTAGAGTTGCCTAGAGGCATCATTTTTGTTCTTTCTTTCTTATGAAATCATACTTGTATTAATAGCTTCAAATATTTCAGAAATAAATTTTCGGACAATCAGATATTGATCATATATATGATATTGGCGATAGGTTGTACTGCGGGAGTACCGCTGCGGAGATCCGTTCCGTAGCGAAAGGGTTAAGGAAAGCATATTTTATTATTAAACAAAATTTAATGATTTAGAATATTTTTTGCAATTAAAAAATCGAAGGAGGAAAAAGCACAGAACAATATTATAAAAATAAAATGAAACATATTTGAATTAAATCTAAATTCAAAAAAACTTGAAATAGAAAATTATAATATTTCTTTCTTATTAAATAAATATCATAATCACACATCGAATTGCATATACAAATCAATCATATATAATACATAAAAATTGATTGTAAAGTTGGCCAAATTTTTATTGAAAATTTTAAATAATCTAATTTTTAATTCTATTCTATTTTAACTTCGAGAAGTTTTAATTTTTATTAAAACAACATATCATTATCTTACTTTCATTTTACATCACGCGCAAATGTGTAACGATAAACAAATAAGAAGTATCGGTATGAAATTAAAATTCTTACATAAATAAATATATGAATAAGCATATGACAATGATGAGAAGAAAGGAAACAGACCGTAATACGGAAAAAAATTAAAGGGCCCTGAGAGCGGCCTTGACTCAGGTTAGGTAGATTTTCTTTACATACATTGAAAATGAGAACCACCGCTCAGTCAAGTTCAAGCGAGCAAAGCAAGCTGTTAGAAACGTACGATTCTTTTCCTAGACATAAAACTATCCTTACTATCACAAATATTAGTGTTATATTTATTGTGTTCAAATATATATATATATTTCTAATAATACCTAATAATTCTCTTTTTTTATTTTTGTGAATTTAAAGTGACGGTGTTATTATATAAGTGTATTTTGTTAATGGTTACCGGTTTTATAATATTAAAATTATCAATTAATTTTTAAGTTATTCAATATCATTTATATAAAGTCCTCTTTTTAATAATTTATATTGCAGATGAATGATAATTCAAACTAATTGCTTATGTTTATTTATATATATTTCATTATTAGATTAATTATATTTATTTCTAATTTACTAATTGTAAAATATAATATATATATATATATATTGTCAAATTAATAATCAAAATAACAAAAGTTTGGATCATTTATTTAATAGTGGCTAAAATCAGAATTTTTAAAAAAACGTTAAGTTGATGTTATTACCGTACGATAAACTGCTTGTTTTTTTTGTTTTTTTTTCGGTGTTTTAAGTATCTTTTAAACCTATATTACATCGAAACGAATACATCAAAATTAATTGCCTATTATAATGTTTTAATTAGCGGGATTATTTATTCTAACATTAAGGCTTATTAAAAGTGATGAATTTGAATGAAGGTCACACCTTAAATACAAATAGTCGATTTATATAAACTAGTGATAGAATTAATATCGTTTATCGTTAACATGGTATTTATACTGATCATATGATATTGTATATGAAAATTATTTGAAAAATCTCGTAATTGTTCCGCGTATTATACTTGAATATTTTTAATATAAATAATATTTCTTTTTCTTCTTCTTCTTTTATTTCTTTTTAATAATACAAATCTATATAATATTATGAACATCATGTATGTACAAAATAATTTAAATATTAATGATTGTAAAAACAAAATATAAAACAAAAAAAAATAGAAAGTTTCGTTAGCAATTTATAAAAATAAAATAAGTGTAATTTCTAACGCGAAGTATTTATGCATTTATTGATCTTATCAAGCCAAAACTTGAAATCTCTAACGTAATAGCACGATATTGTTGTATACGATTATATAATAAGTCTAGCGTTATTTTATTCCTCATACTTTCCACAAATTTCACTTATCGACATTCGATTTCTAAAACAGAAACTAGTATTTAGTAATTTAACGTATGCATTTCTTCGGAACCGGTTATTCATATCTCGTCATAGAACTAATTACAATTGTCAATCGAATTCATCGAGTTATGATTTTATTATTTTATAATTTTATTTTTATCGATTGTTTTTTAAGAACATACACTTATTTTTTCCAAAAAAAGGAGCAGAAATTTCATAAAAAAATAGTTACTTCCTAAATAAATTCTAATTTAAATATAGAATCTACAATTAGATTACTGAAAAAAAACAAATGAAAGGACATTGCACGAAACGTCAAATTTATTGAAAAATTCAGAACTTCGATGGAATAGAAATCCGAAACAAAGTCTACTGACAAAATTCAACAAAAAAACTAATGGGAAATTAATGAAATTTATTCTTGTAGATTTTACAATGATATCAGAAAAAGACAAATATGCCACGAATGAAGTGAGAATTGGACTTCCTTCAATGGATATCTTTTTTTTGTTTACCATTGAATACTGGATTGCAATTATACTCTATTTTCTCATAAGAATTTTGAATTTTATTAAGTCTCTTTTACCAAAGCCACCAAGAGATCTAACCGGTGATGTCGTTGTGGTAAATTAATACAAATAGTAATAATAATCATAATTTTTATTAAATCATTCGTTGTGTGATCATTTTTTTATTGATTATTTATATAGTCAATTATTTCTCGCTACTGATTTAATCTATTTAATTATTTCAATATATTTTAGATAACTGGAGCAACTTCAACATTAGGCACATTTCTAGCCGAAGAATTTGCTAAAAAAGGATGTTCAATAATTTGTATAGACAAAGATAACAATTTAGTACAGCAATTAGCTTTAGATCTCCAATCTCGTTACACAGGTTTAAAGGATAATTTTAAAGGAAAGGAAAGAACAGAAGGGGAATCTTTGAAAAATCCAAGAATAATAGCTTATCAGTGCGATACTTCGAACCCTAAGGAGATGAAAGATATAACAAATAATTTCAAAAACGAGTTCGGTGGAATCGATATTTTAGTAACATGTATAGATTCTCCATGCGTGGATATTTTTGACACCGCAATGACAATTTGGATGAATCATTATTCGGTAAGCATAGTTTTCAAATTGAATTTTGCGGCTTTTTAACAAGTGTTTCATAGAAATTGATCGCGCAAAAAAAAAACAAATATTTTATCCGTAACTGATTGGAACAAAATTTTTTTTTCGTAAACCTATATGATCAGAATTTGTGTAACGGAACCTTATCTTTAATTATATTATAAATAGGAATTATACTTCGTATGATTATGATACTGAGCCGTTTTAAATATTTTATTATTTGTCACTGACGTAATATTTGACATGTGTGATCAAAAAACTAAATATATTCCACCTGAGAGAAGTTAAACGTATTTATTAACGATTCGTAACAGATCAAAGTTCGTTTCATGCTGAAGTGTGTAATTGTCGATTAACAATTTAAAATTATGTAAGCTGTCAATAATGTCATCGGTGTATATCGATAAAAACAAATAATAATAATTATTATTATTATTATGTTAAATAAATTGATAATAGAATTGATTATATTGCATTGACCATTTTTGAAATGATCCAAAAAAATTCACAAGAAAAATATCAAAAAAGTATTCTTAACATTTAATAAACTATCAATCTCTCCCACTCATTTTTTCTTTTTAGACTATAATAGCATTTTTATCTTTAATGTTACGTCGGGAACGAGTTTATATCATTGGAGTAACACCTGTATCAGACAAAGATGCTTCTATAAGTTCTGGAATTGCTCTAAATAGTACGTATTTCTCTACCTGTAATTTATGAATTTAATATGCAGTTAGCTATTAAAATGAATTTTTTCATCATTTTAATTATAAAAATATGTATATAAAGTTCATAATAATAAGAAAAAATAAATTTTTCTATCTTACCTAGTTATAGTATACTTACTTATTTCAAATTACATGATATTTTGCATGATTTACAGATCTAATGGAATACTTGTGTGAAAAATTATGTGATTTTCTTATTAATTGTACATTTCTTGCGATATCACCTATAACAAAAAAAGGGTAAAAATTAAATTTATTTATTATTATATAGAATGAAAGTATGTAAGGCATAAATACTTATTTATTATTTACTTTCTTGACTTTTTAATGAATGATTTACAGATCGATAAAGCAGAGTGAGCAACAAGTTGCAAAAGATATTGTGGAAGCTGTTAGAAGGAATCAATCGAGTTTAATTTATGGATGGAATTCACGTTTTTTGTATCGAGCAAGGTTAGATAAAGTGTTAATTAAATTGTTTTATTATTACACTTCAATAGGATGTATTAAGCCTAGAACTACTAAACTTAAATTAAATGAAGATTTGATCGTTTTTTTCAATACTTTAATTTATTTAAATCGATTTTTCATCGATTAAACTTTAGTGAAATTGAATTTGCTCTTCACCATTCCCTTTGGCATGAAAACAAAAAATTCATATACTTAAAAGTCTGATTATTGCTATCAGAACAGTTTCTAGGACTAAAAAACCCTTGGGGTAAATATATACCCTAGTTTGTAGTTTGGGAGTTAAAAAAATAAGTTTGTAGTTCTAAGATTAATAATTATTGTACGAGCCACACATATATAATCAAACCTTGGATTGCGAGTAACTTGGTTTCGTACTAGTAATTAAAGTGCAATTTTTATTATTTTTACATGAATAAATTGTGGTACGAATTATCCGATTTTTCATTATGTATTTTTCATAACAAACTTCGCTTTGATGTATGATTGTTTTGCATTAATAGCATCTTCCTTGAACGAATTATGCTCGCAAACCGAGGTTCCATATTACATAAGAAATAATGTTTATTTGTTTCCTTTAATTATACACAGAAATATTTTTATTCCAGTTGCGTAATATCCGTTATTATAACTAAGTTAACAAAATGGTATCGAGATTGAAGAAACTACGATAGTATATAAAGAAGTATTGTTTAGAATTAATAGAAAAATATGTGCTGAAGATTTTTAAAGACTGGAAGGAAATATAACGATGTTAATGTATTTCTGAACATTTCGTATTACCCTATAGATAATAGTTCAATCAACAAATATCATTCGTCTTTGATAAAACTTATACCTATTTTTTTTTTAACAGTTATAAGAAACACTTGATTAATCGTGAACATTAAATGTGAATGATTATCAACTCTTGCACTAACAATATTTCAATTTATAAAAGCCTTCTATTTATTACATATTTATAAACGATGATTGTATACAATAACGATTTTAATTACCTATTGATTAATTTAATTTATAATTCATAGTAAAAAATATACAATTTTTTATAATAATGTAAATATTTTTTTAAAAATCTAGTAACTATCTATCGTAAATTACAAAATGTATATTTTATTATCTTTATGTTTGCAAAATCTTTTATTATCCTCACAAAAATACAATTTCTTTTTTCTTTACAAAATAAAAATTATAAAAAGACGATTAAGAGAAAATAAATAATTGTTATTGTATGCGTTATATGTAATTTTATTTATATATACAATTGGACTCGTATATATTTATAAAAAGTAAAACGCTGATTATAGTAAATATTTCATTGTCTCACATCTCTTTACATGTAAATTATATATAATAATAAAATAAGCAGATATATGGAATAAAAGTGTTCATTAAAATGAAATATACACAAAATTTAATCGTTAAGTAAAATATCGTAATGACCGCTGTCTGAATGTCCAGTGAAGAGCAACCTGGCAGTCTGACAATAATGATTTATATGACTGTAGAAAACACGTTCTAACTCATTCGAGCCTTCTATCTCACGATATATAGCGAGATTCATATTATAAAGCTTTGTTGCTACCGTACATTCGAGCTCACTTGCAAACGTCCCAACCATTCTCATGTGTCCATAATATTCTTCAGGATTTGATATATTCCATTCAGCCATTACGAAAGGACCATATTCGTGCCAATTATTTTTTATATGTCTAGCAACCTGTATTATAATTTATTTTATTAATATCTAACATTTTTATTCATCAAAAAACAATAACTATGTTTTCTTGATATAAGAATATTACCTATATCATATAGGTATATAAGGAAAGTAATATTATTTGTGCTAGCTAACCGTGTTACGCAAATATTGATGCTTTTCTTCATTTTGCCAAAGGATATAGCTGAGCGCACGGAACATACAATTTCCATCTCCATAAATTTTATGCACGTGAAACGTGCTATTGTTACACCTTAAACGAGCCGTATCTGCATTGAATTCATTTTTTTTTTCAGAGATTTTTTATATAATATAATATAATCGCTACTTATTTTTTTGCATCTAATAAGACAGATACATAAATTTATTTATGTTATAATCTATTATATAGACAGAATAGTAAATTGACACTAGCACTTTGAAACCAGAAATATATCTATTCGATTTCGATCGTCATTCTGATAGCAAATTGAAGAATGGTGTGTGTATGTATTTTATTGTTTTTTTCTTTTTCAAAATAAGAAAAAATAAGGGTTAATACAACTCATATTTTTGTACTCGAATAAAGATAGTTTGAATTTCTATTTTAAGCCGCCAAATTGATACCTCTAGCGAGTCGAGTTGCGCAGTAGTTTACTGCGCAGAAAGAAACTCGTTCGGAGGTCGTTGATTGGTCTATAGCACGCGAGGAATAATAAAGTTGGTTGCCTGGACGACGGATGAAGCGATGCGTGTCATTGCGCGCCGAGTCAACCAGTTGTTTTCGAGAAAGGAGAGAAGAAGTGTATCGTTTCGGAAGTTAACATGGCGTCGTACCGAAACGTGCCATTACTGTGTACAATGCAGCATTAAAATAGCGATACGATATGCAGTTTACGTGTAGTGCAAGGAGATCTTTGCCGTTTATCATCGAGTGTATCTAAAATTGTGACGAAGTTTTTAACGACAAAAGGAAATACAGAAAAATCAAAAATTAAGAAAAGAAAAAAGAGGTATCACAACGATCATCCGGCCAAATGACATGGGAATTTGCAGCAGGAGACACTTTCTATTGACAATATGCATTCTACAACTCGTAAGTATATATTCAGTGTTAATTATATTAACGGAAATGCACAACGGACATCTCAGGTGCGTTGCAATTTTTGATGATCATGCACGCGCACACACACACTTGTATATTTAAGTACGTACTTCCATACCTACATGCATATACTGCACACATATATTCATGAGAAAGGATACATGCAATACGTTTTTCTAATCTGACAATGAGTCATGAGTTTTTTTTACGGATTACGAATTTCAAAAATCTAGATAAATCATCGTTTTTATCTCATCTTTTATTATATTCTTTTTTGTTTTCATCGAAATAATCAATCCCCCTATTTTCATCATGCAAATCATGCAAACCCTATTTCTTTCTTCTTTTTGTCTTACGATGAGGAAAAAATAGTATTCCTTTTTCTTGACTAATTGACGCTATGATAGAGTTGGTATTACTTTACTTTGTTGATTAAACTCGTTTTATCATTTTATCGACCCCGGTCTTTTCATTTATCTTTCTACGTTGTTCTATTCTGATAAGTTGTGGTTTGCACGCGCGAAAGTATTATTATTATTATATATATATATAATGGAACTAGGCTGCTCTTTCTTTTTTTTCTTTTCTTAGGATGATGCTTTCACTCGCAACATTAAAGTACTTTATATATATATAACAATTGCTTTTTATTCAAATAATTTAATATCATATTTTTTGTTTTTTATTTTTCTTGTTCATAACATTCTAAGATTTTAAGAATACATTTTTGTGCATATATTTACTTAATTATATTTATAATTGATATGTGAAACTTGAAGATAATCAAATCAAATATTCTCTTTAAGTATCATATATAATTGTTTAATCTTTTAGCACATATGTATGCACATACATAAGTGTTGCAAGACTAACAGAGAATGATCAATCAACTGAGTATTTGGAACACAAGACAATTGGCACAGATTAAGAATACACTAAAAGGAAATGAGTTGAATCTAAGCAATTGTTGGCATACCATTATAAGATACGTACTTTAATTTTGTTGTCACTTATCTTCTATACTTGATTCTAAATATACAAGATGTTCCAGTTTTTTCCTCGCAAAATTTGTTCACCATATTCTATACGTAAAAACATGAATAAAATGTTAAAAAACATGAGCTCTTAAATGCTTCATTAAAAAGTTACAGACAAAATCCAATTAGATGGTTGCCTGGTACATTATGCGCTACTAATACAACAATGGCTAAGTGATCATTAAACCCAACGATAAATAGGCCAAAGAGGATCAATTCCTAAGATCACCAGATATTAAGTTAATGGATTATACTTTCTTTTCCTTTTTCTTTACAGATTACTACTGTAGAGCGTCAAGTTTTCGACTTTCTGGGGTTTATGTGGGCCCCGATACTGGTCAATTTTTTTAATATTATTTTTGTTATTCTGGGGTTTTTCGGGGGCTTTCAATACAGACCTAAATATATCATATCGGTGCGTATACTTTATTGAAATTATATTTATAAGAATATAATAACAAAATTAGGATTGATAATTTTCTACAATTAATGTATGCTTAATTTGTTGTTCATTTCAGTATTGTATATGGAACACACTTTGGTTAGGATGGAACATATTTATAATATGTTTTTATCTCAACGTAGGAATATTGGATAAAGTAAGTAAATTAAAATCAACAAATTGGATTCGTTAATCTCGACTACAACAGATATTTATTTTTTTAGAATAGTGATATTTTAAATCTTGGTACTGGTAGTTTTTCCTGGTGGCATGTAAATGGACCTGGTTGTAAAGCTGTATATGATGTGACTGAACCAGAATTATTCAGACCAGCGCGTCCCAGTAATGTGACGGATTGTGTACTGGATTATGAAGTAGTTGAAATCTTACATGCATCTACACAATGTCTTTTAGGGGTACATGTATATTTTATAAAACTTTATCTATATCTTTATTCGATTCTGTTTATAGAAAATGATTTATAGCAAATTATGTAAATATCATTTTTAGTAATTTATGTTTGAATTTTTCAGTTAATGGCAATTATAGGAGGGATCTGTCTAAGTAAAGTCTTTCTAGAAGAAGATGATAGCTGTAAGTATTAATTTATATAAAAAAAGTATTTATGTTTATGTTTATTCTATTAGTTTATAATTTTTTTTTTTTTATTATTACAAATAAGATAGAATAGGTGTAATATGAAAGAAATATATTTTTACAATTTATATTATTATGCGTTTACATTCCTAAGACAATTTTAATAGGATTTAGGTATAAAAATTAAAGTTATTAAATAATAGTAATATTTAAATCCTGTATTGTTATCCTTATGGGATCTAAGTTTTATCATAAGTAAAAGCTGCAGTAAACTATTTCTGCTAGTTTAGTGATAATTTAAGCTTATCGGATAATTTATTATTGCTTGAAAAATGGGTTATCAATTACAGTCGATTTCATTGGTGGATTTGATCCCCCATTCTGGTAAGTGCTTTGCCTCATACACAATTTGCACGCATTTATTCATTTGCTCGTTTCAGCACGATTGACTATGTTGTAAAATACAAAATTCTAGAAATGTAGTCTTATTATATATATTTCTTTGATCTTCAATGTACACTTTTTAGTTGGAATGTACATAAGTAGTAAGAAATAACTTTCTGCAGCTTAAAAAATTTGTAATGTCTATTAGATGTATCGAATTATCATATTCGTGGAAAGTTTATCAGTAATTTCAGCATGGGAAAGAATTCTTGTCTTGTTATTAAAAATATTGGGTAGTCACTATATATATATATATATTAGTGAAGCAGATTCATTTTAATTGTTGAGAAATTGAATAATTAAACAACTTATCCTCACAGTTATAGCGCTCTTTTATATCTTTTAAGTTGTATTTAAAGGTAAACATTTCGTCTGAATCACTCCAGCAAATTTACTCTAACATTGTCGATTCTAAATGATATATTTCAGTTGACTTTGTGGGCGGTGATGACTTTGGGTTGGCAGGCCACACACAGTTGCATCCTATGTATGTTAGTTATTCGGCACTTCCAACACCTTCTTATCCACATAAAAATTCCAGTCAAGATTATCCTGCAGGCACAACTAGCTCTCACCAATCTGTTTATCGAGACACTACTTTTCCAAAAAGAAATGAGAAATCATTTAATAATACCAGTAATAGTAAAAATAGTAACAAAGATGATACTATCATAAGTAATAGAAGTAATCTATCCAATAATGATATGAAAAATGTAGAATATTCGACTGATTATTCGAATCCTTTAGATCATCTTCAAAGACCTATCTCACCATACGATGAATATGATTCCTTAGATAGTGCAGCAAGGTTAAAATATCAAAAGAATAAGTTATATTATCCACATTCTTCAAAATATGTTTCTGTTTCAAATGCTAAATGTAAAACTCAGTCAAGTCATGGAAAACAAACTAGGACGTCTAGCAAACCTAGAATTTTTACTGACCACATTCGCGAACAGCCTTTAAGATCGTTTTATTCCGATCCAAAATTGGCCATTGATCGTCATCAAAGTATGAATAATCATGACAGATCAAATAAATCCAAAAGAGAAAGTAGACCTTTATCGTTATGTGCAAGTAATTTTTAGAATTAAAAAATAAGAATATATTCTTTAAAGAATAATTATTATAAAAAGAGAAGTTTTTGGTTCCTTTTTTTTTTTTATTTTGTTATTTTATATACGTACGTAGGTATATGTAAAAATATGAAAACATAAAAAAAAAGATATAGGAAAAAGTGTCTTTGATTTGATTTTAAGTTTTGCTTTGCTCTATACTGCCACTTTTTGGGATATGAAAATGTAACATAAAATTCCTATACTTGCCAAATAGATAAAACGATTGATTAGTGTAGCTAGTTGAAGTGCCACTTCCTTTCGTAACAACTTCCATTTCCCTGGAATTATCTTTTTTTATAGTTAATATAGCTTCACTATAATGATTTATAGTTAATATTCTTCATGTTTTACGTAAGAGATGGACTGATCTAATATTTACAAGTATAAGTTGTGTTAATTGTTGATTTTAATTTTAATTAAATTAATCGTTTGCTGCGTTTAATTTATACACATACGTATTAATTTCACAGTTGTTCAGGGCTTTTCAAATATGTATATGACATTTACTTTATTATTATTATTATTATGATTATTATTACTATTATTAATTAATTAATTAATTAATTAATATTATTACTATATACTACTACTTCGTCGATAAATTTATGAAACGTACACTGTGATAGATAGATGATTATCCATTAAGAATAGCTTTATGAAATATGCGCTGGTACAAAAAATATTAGATTTCAAATTATAAATTATTAATTGGAGCACAATTTTTGTACGACTTTGGACATGTGCAGAAAATATCAGATTTTATTTGAATTTAAAATGAGAATTTTGTTTAATTTGTCTTTATCGAATTTTCTTTTTCTGCAATATGTGTAAAATAATGATTAACTCGTCCTGTTGTACTTTTTTATTATTATTATACTACGATATATATAATATATAATGAATATATATATATTTTTTTTTTTATTATATTTTATTATATTTACAATTAGTAAGATATAAACTTCTCAAACATCACATTTCTCAAGCAATACGTTATTTTTTAATTATACTTTGGAATGCATTTTATTAGCTTATTACATATAGCATTGAACGTTTGGTTATTATGTGGTGCTATGGAAAACTATAAATATTAAAGTATGTTTAGTAGTGCATGGTAGTTGGTCTCATTAAAATTTCATCTTCGAACTTTATGAAAATAATTATTTTCTATATATTCTCACATTAAATTACTTAATTTGAATTTACGATGCATACTTAAACAATGGTAAATCAATATTTCTTATCAAACAAAAATGTTATAAATTATATTGTCATTTGAACAATAAGTATTTATTCTTGACTCGGTTCTTCTGCATGATCATTTTTTTTTTTGTTATTATTTTTTATTTTCATTTTTATTTTCTTTTTACTCGTGCGTTAATATTTACGAACTCGTTTCTGTGGTAGATGAAAATTATATCAAGTGTGATGGAAGAAGTAAAAGTAAAAAGTTCATTAGAATTTATTGTAATAAATAGAAAAACTATTATACAAGTTAGAATATAGTTGTCGGTGTATATAAAATGTGTTCAGATTATACATATACATTGAATTGGATTAATCTTTATCATTCTACGTAGAAAAGTACAAGTTTTCTTGTCACTTTAATTTGCAAAAAGAAAAATAACGCATAATCTTTTAAGAACGTAGGAATTAGTTTTGTATTATTATTTTGACTACTGTATTGCAATTTTGATGCAATTTATTAGTGACAATAAATGTACAATGTTACTATTGCTTGCTTTTTTATTTATTAACTCCCTTCATTTTTCTTCTTTTTCCTTTTTCTAACATTTTCCTACTTTCTACGGTTGGTTGATTGGTTTATGGGAAATCTTATAGAATTTTGTGTGGCTATATAGCTTTTTGGATAATCATTTTTCTGAAATAATTTTGGGTACATTATTACAAAGAATATATTTTCATTTTTGCAAGGGATAATTATTGTTTATAAATATATGACATCAGTCATTCTTAATCAATTAACAATGAGTATGTTGGAGTGTATTTTACAATAAATATAAGCCAGTGATTATGAAAGTAGCTTAAGTTTTATATTTATTTCTTTTTTTCTTTTCTTTTGAATACAATAAAAATACATAAACACAATGCAATTAAATTTTTTTTTAGTCACTTTCATAATTACTAATACATGAATGTAAGAGTACATTTTTGTCAAGAAAATGAGTTGTGATTTGAAAAGTTTTGTGATCTCAATCAATTTACAAAGATACGATAGCAGAACTTTATATTGAACTAATTGATTTTGTTAATAATCAATTAATATCGCTGATAGAATCAAATATATTTCTTTAAATTTCTTTTTATTTCTAAGCCGCACTCTATGTATTTGCTTTATATTTTTCTTTTCTCCAACAGTACAAATTAAGAAGAAGAAGAAAAAAAAACAGCCTCGGCCGTTGTATAGCATCGAGTATTCTCAACCAGAACCTCCTGTACATGACGACAGTGTATCACCTAAACCAATGACACCTCGAAGAGTGAAGAGACGTTCTGTGATATCACGAGATGGTACACGTCGATCCAGTCGAAGAAGTTCAGTCAGGCAATCGCGTAGAAAAAATCCAGTTAATCGAATAATGGATCATCAGGAAAGTCTTTATGCTAACACAGCACCAAGTAACTTAACCAATCAGAATGTTAACTCTTTGTCCCAAGGAACATTGAATTATGATAGAATTTCGGTTGGTTGGGACAGAGATAGGAATTCCAATTGGCAGCCGGAAGCTGTTAACATGGCTGTCTCTTCGCCAACGCTTTGGACTGCACAAGACAGTAACAATTATTCTAACACAAGTAATTATTCCAATCAGAACTTGCCTATTTGGGATGGAAGCAACTCCACAAGGAATCTCACTGATAATTGGCAAGGAAACGATCTGAATACCATGCAGTGGCAAGGTCAAAGCAATCCGACTTTTCAACAGACAAGTACTCAAAGCTTGAATGGCGAGGATCTTGAAGATTTGTATAGCAATCGACCAGCTAGTGTTAGGTCAAGTTATAGCAATTATCACGGTGTTAGGGCTACACCTCAGGTACCTAGTAGAACTGATATTGTCAGGCAGAGTCAAAGACAATTTGTTCTTAGTGGACCACCAGCGTATCAGGATACAGTGATATGATACATTGATAATCTCCTAATGATAGCTTAATATTCACTTTTTTTCTTTTTTTTTTTCATCTTACCATGTCCATAATTTTTAAAGCTTTACCCTAATATGTGGACTGATGCAAGAGGAATAGACTTTGTACAGATTTTATTTAAGATTTTTATGCAAACTCTTCATTGTGTATTGCTGTTGAATCAGGTGATTTTTTTTTAAAACTACGATAATAATTTATAACTTTAAGAAATTCACAAATTTCAATCCTAACTTTATAAACATTATACAAAGTGAACTATATAAAACAGATGATTTCAATATTTTTTATAATAAGCAATGGAAGATATTGAAATATCTTGTTTTGTGAAAAGTTCATTTAGTATACACATATATTAACTGACATCATGCCTTGAATCTCAGGTTTTAGGAACATTGAAAATTTTACAACACTAGGGGATACATGCATACTAGTACGATATATTATTATCAATATTATTTTTATCAACGAATTTAACGATACCGCCACTATTATAATTTAGAAAATATTTCTTTAAACGTTCTCAAGAATGACCATGGTCATATTTGTGCGAATTAAAATCAACAATTTTTACTATATGCATCAAATCAAAATTAATTAAAAAAGACAATCGTTCGATATTCTCATTTTAATATGAAATATTTTTCATCGAGATTTTTAATAGAAAAAGAAAGAAAGAAATTTAAAAAAAATAAGAAGAGGAACGAAAACTCACATTTAAACGTAAACGTGCTACGTTATTATTATAAACATAGTCTTCCAATCGACAGATTTAATTATTAGAATTAGGCAATGATATATATATAATTATTATTATAATAATGATAATAAACAAAACAAAAATATCACGAGTAGCGTGCAATAAAAAAAAAGTTATTTGTCGTTGACTGAATATTTTTACAAATGTCAATCAAAAATATTGAAGGTAATTTGATTGTTTTATAGGAATATACAAATATATACATACACCATGCATACATACATACATTATACATATAATTATAATATACACATATTGCACGTATCGTTGTTATTAATTACGCACTCGATAATGTTGTTATGCAACTGTAATACAATATGCGTAACAAGTTGTAGTAGAAAATGTAGAGATATAAACACCAAAGTATTAAATATTGATATAATTAGATACATATCTATAAGTTATACGCGTATTTAGCATATCTACACTTAATACTTATTTCAAAATTTAATTAAACAAATTTTCTTTTTTTCTAAATCGTCTGGGAACAGAATTAAGTGAGAGCTGTCCAATAATTGAAAATAAAAAAATTGTTATTAGAGACAATGAGAAAAATATTACAAAATTAAACGTAATTTATATATTCTCAGGGCAAATGAATAAATTAATGTAAAATAATAATAAGAAACAAGATTTGATAAAAATTAACGCAATAAAAATGATTTTGACAGCTCTAATTTTGCATTAGGATAAATAATTTTACTCAATTATTGCAAATCATCTGCAATAATTGGAAGTAAATATTGAAATCTCATAATTTTAGAAAATGTCTATCGTCGATAAGACACATGTAAGTATCTATCTACGTAGTTATGTTCGTTACAAGTACATATACATGCATACACATACATACACGTTTCTCGCGCGTATATTATAATTATGAACTTGACCTGTCTTTTGTTTTTTTTTTAATTAATTTTCTCACTTATAATATAGATCAACGTAACGCCAAATAAGTAATGAATGACATTTTTTATAGATTTTGTATGTAAGTCATTTTTATAATTATTGGCACAATTAGAAATTTCATAAAAATAAATATTATATTGTTTCTTTTTTTTCAAAAAGGACAATTATAAGTACCTTACCGATAAACCTAAGTGTTATTTTTTAATTAAAAAATGCCGGCTTACGTACTTACATTAGATATAATGTTTTTTTTTTGTAATTTGTTTGAAAAAAAAAAAAAAAAAAAGCAAATGTCAAATCGAGATTAGGAACGGCAAACCGAAGGTGTTTTTTAAGACTTTACATTTTGACGAAGTTCTTTATTATTATTCGTCAATAAAGCGATGAAATTGATTAAGCCATCGCTCTCTTAATGTACAATGTATCATTATTATAAATAATAATCGAAAGACAATAAATAATAAGTGTTCAACATTGATTACTGTGTGAATTTATAATTTATACAATTGAAATAATATCATTTTTTTTGCGAGCTACGCGTAATAGTAATCTCGAAAGAGATATTTAGCCGAAAAAATATCCAAATAATTGCAAGTTTATAAAATTCCAATAATATATTGTAACAAATATATGGACCGTTTTATAATTTTCTTTAATTATAAATAAAACATGAAAATTATATAGAAGAGAGTTATTCAATGTTTGATTAAAAAAAGCAAAGCAATATTGTGAAAAGAAACTTAACGAAAATGAAAAGGAAATTTCAAATTCATTGTAGAAAATATGATCTTTCATTTTCATTTATTCATAGACTTTGACTTATGTTAGCACTCTCTAATTCCGTCATGCATTCGCATATAACTACTCATGAGTGATTTCCCTGACAATATAGTATTACTGTATATAGTATTACTGTTTCATATACACACTCGATATATAAATATCGAGATACTTCGAGAAACGAATTGGAACGATCGTTCACGAAGGGGTTGAGAAGTAGGGAGAAGCGAGAATACATGAAATCGCGCATGTCAGTACGTGCATGCATGCAACTACGTCGTCCCTTCGACCCTCCCTTATAACGACAGTTTTCACTGAACCGAACGTTAAGGGACGTCGTTCGTCTCTTTGTGCGGCGCCTTTAAGGCCGCATTACATTCATTCAATCGAATTATATATCAAATAAAAATAAATAATATCAATAAGTGATCAAAGAAACAAGAGATAACGTAATAAAAGATTTAACTTGAAGTGTGTTTTACGTTTAAGAATATCACAAGATTATAAAGTTCAACGGATCTTTGTCATCTAATTACAATTAGGATGTTCAAAATCGTGAAAGCCGGTTGTACCGGCTTTAAGAGACTTCGTACTACTAACAAGGTGAACAGTTAATTATTTCTTTTTTCATAATCGTTTTTATTTTTCTCAGTTTTCTTTCAACCTTCCAAACATTTATTTCATTACATCCCCAAAGTTAGATATTTTGTTTTCCTCATATTTAAATCATCATTATCACGAGATATTTATTTCTCTTGTGTTTTATAATATTGTAAATGCTTTCGTGTATCGAAAAATTGTTCGATTTTAAACGCGTAGGATGCATTAAACATCCTTTTTTTCTTTTTGTCTTTAAAGTTTTCTGTCAGCACCACCTGACCTACTTTATTTAAAGTTTTTTTTCTTTTCATTAAAAATGTACTAAGGAAATTTTTTGATTTTTAATTAATGTACAGAGATATAATTATTTGTAAACGAAAGGTTATTGTTTTATCGTTATTGGTGTTACATTTAAAATTTATATTGATATTTATAGAAATGTTTTCAGCGATAATAATTTGTAACATTTTGTGTGGACCAATTTTGATCAATAATTATTGGTTTATTTTGTTAATGACATAAATAATAATTGTTATTTTATTTTCAATATATATACTAGAGTCATCGTAAATGATACCTAGCGTAAATGAAGCTTATTATATCGATATAATATAATAATAACAATAGTTTTATAGCTATTGTAGAAAATATGATTGATTTAATAAAAATTGCATTGATTGCTAGAGTGTTTGTTAGGTAGGAACGTGCACGTGCACGTGGGCAACAGCAATGGCCTCTTTTAAGTGATAAAAATACTTTTGAAACTTCTCGCGAATGACGCTTGAATAAGTGTTATAATTAACGACCTTGAAAAGGTTTAGAAACTTCTTCAATAATTTTTGAATTTGGTCAAAAAATTTTAATGATATTATTATTATCATCTAATTCATATTTATATGTATTATAATTAGTAATTTATACAATTAATAAGAAAAATGAAATGTACACGTTCTATTTGAATTGAATATTATTTTCTTTTGAGAGAGAGATCGTTTGTAAATTTTTTGGCAACTAAACAGACACACATATATCCGTAAAAAAATGATACAACACGTGCTCGCGTGCATTCATTCGCTATCCGATTTGTAGGACACGTGGCAGGTTTCTGCTTATAGTATTAGGGAGTTGATTCATCAAAGGATCAATACGAGGTTACATGGAAAATGAAAGAAATAACTTAAAAAAAAAAAAGAATATTCTGATGGTTAAATTTTGTATAACAGTTCTTTAAATCGAAGAGTATTTTCTTCAGATTTTGTATAATATTCAAATGAATAGAAAATATTGTCATATATCATTTACAGAAAATTCAAATAATTGTTGAAGAAATGTTTAAAAATCGCATTTTCAAAAAGATGAGACTACTTACAATTGAATTCAAAGTTCAAAAAATAGCTTCACTTTATTCCGTACAGATTGTAAATATTCTCAGATTACACTCGATAAGTTTGATTAAAAGTAATTTGATAGTCTAAGGGTGGAAATATTGTATTTCTATTTCATTGTCAGAAACAGCTGCAGCCTGTACCTACATCGAAGCTGGGATCATTGAGATACATGGATGTTGCTTTTGGAAGTGCCTTAGAATTAGAACGCGCACAGACACGGTAAAAATAATTTTATTCGACATATAATAGAAAATATTTAGTTAAATAATTTATAACTATTGTACTGAAAAAAAGATCGGTCAAAAGAAAAAAAGATTAAAAAAAACGATTACAGATTATTATAATATTATCTCGATCAATCGAAGAATAAAGAATGATCGATTAGTTCTAACCGATCTGTTATTGATCCGAATCAATATGGAACAATTTATCGATTACGAGTATGAATATCAAATGTCATGGCTTTTCATTCAAATAAATCCTATAAGAAGTATCTATGAGGACTATTTCGAAATAGTAGCTAACTAAATCGCACACAGTGAAGTGAGTAATATAATAGAACGAAATTTATTCTTTGATTTTACTTGTAAGAAAAAGAAGTTCGAATTATAAACAAGATGGAGGATTATGAATACGGCGGTCATTTCATCGATGACTTCGTTGCGTTCGATGAAATAGTTTTTGCAAAACATTATTCTCTTTATGGGTAAGAGAAATCTTGATCAGTTTAAAATTAAATTATATTTTGTGTACGTTAATAATAAATAATTGCAATTATGAAAAATTTGATAACACCTAAAAGGAATTTAGTTTTTCTATTTGAAAAATATATGTCTTCTATTTTGAATAACATTCTAACCGTCGTTGGAAGGTACGATTTTGTAATAAAATATACGAGAATTATTAGTTTAGTGCATGTAGGAAGAAAAAAAATTTGTCAGAAGTGGGATTCGAACCCACGCCCTCAGAGAGGACCAGAAGTCCCGCGATTTACTCGCATTGGCGAGCAAGGTTTGAACCTTGAGTCTGGCGCCTTAGACCGCTCGGCCATCCTGACATATTGACAAGGTCCGAGTTAAAATTTTACTAGTGCCAACCATAGTTAATATGTTATATTGCATACTAAAAATGATAACATTAACTTTCATAAGATTATTGAAAAAGCTTTAATAATATACCTATTTTGTCTATGCTTATAATAGATCGAGGCAAAAATAGCGTAACCGGAAATTGTATAAATAACTATTACACAAATAACTATTACAAAACAAAGTATCATCTATTGGAATCTATTCGAATATTCTGAGAATTCAACGTTACCTGACAGATGGTCACTGACACATACGTCATACGACAATTCTAGTTCTAATCATGCTAATCGCTAAATTTATTTATCGCTAAATCCACGGGTGGTACGTACATTTTCTTCAAATTGACAATCGTGACGCATTGTGTATATTTGATATATTTGTCTTTCCGATCGGATATAAGCTCGATTTGTCGAACATTACTTTGACAAAAATTCTAGTTGCTTTTCAGAGTTAACATCGATTAACACGTTCTTTTTTCGAACCTGTGTCTTACAATCAGTATCGATCGCATGTGAATATGTACTGTGTGTGGGACTGTTTTTTTTTTTAATAATAATATAATAATTTAAATAACAAAATAATGATAATACATTTTATCACTTGTATTTTATAAATTGTGTGATCGAGAAGAAAGATTAGAAAAATTAATAATCAACTACTAATCGTTGATTTTTTCTTTCATTTAACGATCAAACATTCCCTTGTACAAATTATTTTCGTATTTTTTACATTAATATTGTATAGATGGTGATTAAAAAGATAATATTAAGATTTACGGGATAGAGAATTGTTGATCTTTATTTTGCAAAGAAAAAATACGAAATATTTAACCATGCCGTATATCGACACGAATGGTCGAGATTCGAACGTAAAATATAATGATTCATATATGGATTATTCGATAAAATCAAAGATCACTTGTTCAATATGGTTAGAGAAGAAAAATGAAAAGTCGAATATGGTGTTGGCACGATTTCTTAGGTAAAGCTAATTTATTTGAGGCATTTGCTGATATACTAATCAAATTTCTTTCTCCTTTCTGCTTCTCTCTTTTCAGCGAATACAGCTTCATTCATGACAGCCATTACATGTAGTGAGTACCATGAGTACGATGCATGTGGTGTTAACCATTTACATAATTTTTTAAATCTTAATTTTCTCTTTTCATTAGACACACATTATAATTTCATTTTTTTATTTTTCATTTGCTTATCATATCACAGCTAAAAGAATTTTTATTGTTTTTGTTTGTTAATGAAAATATTTTACAAATAAAAGTGAGCTTGACCAAGAATAATGATTTCTTCAATACACCCACGTATTATTTATTATAGAAAATAGGAGATTAAAATATATTGCATGTTATATAATTATTGTTAGATTTGACACGCACACATGGCTTAAAAGTATAGTGTAATTTATTGCAATTATAATATTTAATTTTAATTTTTTCTTGTTATAATGATTTGTCATAAAATAGAAAGAAAATTAGTATTATATGATTGATAGTATTTGTATGTAGGTTTTGTAAGTACTTAGATTTATTTAATTGCAAAAAAATAATTCGACACGAATCTAATTATTAAAAATATTAAAAATACTTTGACAGCACGAAAGATCACGATCATGCTGCGAATGCTGAAGATGTTCTCTTCGATATGTTCAAAAACGAAGAAACTGATCTTCTCTCGATTGGCAAATTTATCGCTGTAAGTTTAACAAATTTGAAAATTTGAAAATAATTAATCATTTTGTTTGTACGAAATAGAACGACTAGAATTGATTCCTTCATCGTATTCCATGCTCTTATTGGGCTCGATAACTTGTAAAATAATAGAAACATTGTTGCGACATAAAACGATAGTTTTATTGTCGAAGACACGCATAAATTGTTACGTAATATGCATGCAAATGACGTATTTAAGATCGTTCTTTCGTACGTCCGATCGTATTAAACCGAGTGCAAAAGATTTATAGATTAATCATCACAATTTTGTATTTTCCGCTTTTAATTTTGTATCAATAATTTGTAGGCATTGAGGACAACCGGTCTACGAAAAAATGATCCTCGACTTCAAGAATTTTGTGACAATTTGAGGAAAGAACATTCGAGAAGTGGGGGACACGAAGGTGCGTCACATGAGACGCAACAATTAGATAGGGAACAATTTAGAAGGTAAAATTAAATGAAATGAATCTAATATAAATAAAATAATGCACGTTCCATTAATAATTTTATAAAGCAAAAATTTAATGGGCTGATTTTGATCAACTTTTTATCTTGACATAAATTTATTCGAAAGATAAAAAACACGGAGATCAGTATTTTATTTTGATTAATTTATTTTTGTTATTTTAGAATCGTAAATCCGAACATAGTGTTAATATCGCGAGCATTCAGGCATCAGTTTATCATTCCCGATTGGCAAGGTTTCACAAAACACATAGAAGACTTTTATTGGAAATGTAAAACAAACACAGAAGGCAAAGTCGCATCCTACATTCCACAATTAGCGAGAATGAGTCCGGATTATTGGGGAGTCTCAGTTTGTACGATCGATGGTCAAAGATTTAGTATCGGAGATACGTCAATTCCCTTCACATTACAAAGTTGCAGTAAACCGTTAACATATGCTATAGCATTGGATAGGCTAGGACAAGAAGTTGTTCATCAATATGTTGGCCAAGAACCATCGGGGAGGAATTTTAATGAACTCGTTTTGGATTATAATAGTAAGCACACATTTGCCTAATAATAATAATAATAATAATAATTAATTGCTTGAATATTAAACGAGGACGAGAATGTAAAAAAAAAGTTAATTTATTAAAACAGAGAAACCGCATAATCCGATGATCAATGCCGGTGCGATATTGGTTTGTTCATTACTGAAAGCACTCATCAAACCTGAAATGACATTGGCGGAGAAGTTCGACTTTACTATGAACTATTTCAAGAGATTGGCAGGAGATGAAAATGTGGGCTTCAATAATGCAGTTTTCCTCTCGGAACGTGAAGCTGCTGATAGAAATTATGCTCTTGGCTTTTACATGAGAGAACATAAATGTTATCCGGAAAAAACGAATCTTCGCGAGATCATGGACTTTTACTTTCAAGTATGTATCCTCGATTTATTGTGAACAATAGAAAAATAAATTAGAAATTAAATTGAATAAAATAGAAAATAGTAAATAGAAAAATCAATAAATATTTCTTATAAGAAGTCTGTGATTTTTGTGATATATATACCGAATATTATACGAGAATTATTATATAAATTTATTTATTATTATACATCTTATCAGTGCTGTTCCATGGAATCAAATTGCGAAACTATGGCTGTTATGGCAGCGACATTGGCAAACGGTGGTATATGCCCTATAACAGAAGAGAAGGTCCTTAAACCAGACAGCGTCAGAGATGTATTGAGCCTAATGCATAGTTGTGGAATGTATGATTATAGTGGTCAATTTGCATTCAAGGTTAAACATAAATTATTACTTTCATTATCGTTATATGACTATTTTCATGACCATTTTATTATCCATATGCGTAGGTTGGAATACCAGCAAAATCTGGAGTATCGGGAAGTCTTCTCGTAGTTATACCAAACGTAATGGGTATTTGCACGTGGTCACCACCTTTAGATCCTCTTGGAAATTCTTGCCGTGGCGTACAATTTTGCGAAGAACTCGTGACCGAGTTTAATTTCCATAGGTACGAGTCACATTTATTTGAATTATTTCATACGTATGAAGAAAATAGAATCGTTTAGATTTTTCGATCACGATACTAACAATCCCATTGGCACGTATACTTTTTTCATAGACTCGTATCAATTCGTAAAAACGAGTATGAATTTTTATATGATGATAGAGGGTGGCTTGTATCACCAATTACAGACACCCAGTTAGTATTTGTCAATATATTTAATTAGTATTTTAAATAAATGGTCAATATATGACTATTTATTGTGAAAAATACTTGCATATAATAATTAAGCAAATATTTGAACAAATAAATATATATTAGTATTGGCAGCTGTGATAATAACACGTATCTTTTTCTGTTCTTTTTCTTCTTGGTCTTCCTCTCTGTTTCACGACCCTGCCGTACACTAACCTGCATGCGTACACCCGCCAATGCAAAATCAAAAAAAAAAAAAAAACAAACAAACAAAAAACAAAACGAAATAACAAACAAAAACGATGATCGACGTCGGCACACTATTCGTTCTTCGCACTCTTCCACGTCCTCGGTCGATTAGTGAAGTAGCTACTATGATCATAGGTACGATAATCTGAAGCACGCGACCAACAAGAAAGATCCAAGAAGGCACAAATACGAAACGAAGGGTCTATCAATCGTAAATCTTCTCTTCAGTGCTGCCAGTGGTGATGTTCCCGCAATGAGAAGGTATTATTATTTTAGGTCATATAATAATAATAATATAATAATAATATAATTTTATATATTTTTAAATATATAATTAAATACCGTAGGCATCGGCTTAGTGGCATGGACATGACTTTGTCTGACTATGACGGTAGGACAGCTTTGCATTTGGCTGCAAGCGAGGGTCACCTGGATTGCGTTGAATTTCTCATCGAACAATGTAGCGTACCTCATGATCCTAAAGACAGGTACAATTATTTTGTTAAATTTATCTTGACACATTGTTCACAGGTAATTTCGAAGAACTTTTAACTGGAAAATTTGGAATACAATTTTTTATTAAATTCAAGTATTAAATTATATAGCTGAAATATCCACATGGGAAAAAAAATAATGTGATTTTTTACGAAACAAATATATAAATTGTTTTAATATGAAATTGTTCTTATGCATTTAGATGGGGTAAACGACCGATAGACGAGGCGTTAAATTTTGGTCACATGCAAGTCGTAGATTATTTGAAAAATTATGCTGTAGCGCACAAAACTAATAGCGAATACGAGGAAAAGCAAAGAAACGAAACGAATGAAGAGAAACCTCCTGAAAAGGTGGGTCAATCGCCATTACCGTAGAAAGGGTCTCATCAATTTAGAAAATCCAAGGATACCGGAAATATCAGCGTCGAAAAAAAGTCAGAAACTTCTATCGATAGATTCGAAAAATTTGCTTACAAGTTGTGCTTACAATTTCCTACATTATCGACTTAATGTTAGTATGAAATACAGGTCGATATTAATATTTCTCTATCGATTGAATTTAGATTTCTTTTTTTTTTTTTTTTTTGAAGCAAACTAAGCAATACTTTCTACCTCTATTATTTCGTAAGGATTACGAATCTCTCTTCTCTATTTAATTATTAATTCAATTCTCATTAGTAATTCTCATTTATTACTACTTACCCGTACTACCAGTATTTGTTTGTTAATTTATTCCTTCCTTTTTATAGATTTGAATTCTTGGAAGCTTCTACGCTTCTATGATAAATTAATGAATTAAGATCTAAGATCGAAGAAGAGATATTAGGATAGGCGTGATGTCAATTTTTTCGTAATTGCACGAATGTGTCTAGTACAGAATAGATTTAATATTATTATTATTATTATTATTATTATTATTATTATTATTATCATAGTTATGCTAAATATGTATATAAAAAATGGACATTTTGTTGATGGACGACAAAATTGACAATAATTAAAATACTTGTGAACGAGTAATTACGTGAACTACACGGGCATATATACGATCGATTAACTTTTTTCAACGATTTATATTTTCCATAGAAATTTTCATTTACGAAGCAAAAATCTCAGTTTCGTTTTATATTCGTATAGTAATATAAAATAATTATTTGTGTCTATCGATTCACACATTCTCCGTTGTTAAATTTAACAACGCTTGCTTTTAATATATACTTATATATATATAAATTTATTTATGAAATTATTTATAAAATATCTTTGACAATAATTATTCTGAAAAATGACTCTTTATGCTCGGTTAAAAAGTACAAAATTATTATAATCTAATCTCTGATTTAACGGTATAATGTATACTTCAGACATACATATTAGTGTATGTACAATGGAATATTTTTATAATATATTATAGGAAAATTGAATTCAGTATTAGTAAACTCGAATTTAAGTTCTTTTCTCATTTTGTGATACTCAATATTTCCAATATTATAAAATGGAACTTTTGTTTATTTCAACGATTTTGCTGCTAAACTATTCTCGATGAATTCATGTATTTGCCAAGTTTACAAAATAAATATTATTAATATGTAATCAATATTTTTTTCGTCTTTCTAATATTATTCCATTACCATTTTAATATTTATGTCTAATCCAAGTAACATGTTTCACTTATATGAAGTAATATTATTTCGTCAGCTCATATTATAATATAGCTTTGTTTTATCTATGACGTAACATGCTTGATAAGAAAATATATACTAATTATCAGTAGACTCTATTTTCGTTAAGTTCGATCGAACGATAGTTTTCGTATTAGATAATAATCTGAAACTATTGTTATTTAAAAAAACATTCTTTTCACAAAGAATTCCCTAATAATTATGGAAATATAAAAAGAATATGTAAGATATGTATCATTCGTTTTTGAACAAGCTATGGTAAATGATTTAATATTCTATAGAATAACGAAGATTAAAAGATAAAACATGAAACCTTGTTCTTCTCCAGCCTTGATCCCACACATTTGTTTATTTGCGTTATCTCGTCGTATCGAAGTTCGTTGCATTTTTTAACGATCATTTCTATTTCATTGAATAGGATAGAATTTCCACAGTAGAATGACGTAAGTATATTTACGAGCGAGAAAAATCGAAGAAGACTCTCATTAGAAAATCATTCTTATCAAAAATTCTATCATCTTTCTATACTTATTTGTATTTTTTTGCGTTAATGCAAATAAAATAAATATTATTTCGAAAAAAAAAAGAAAAAGAAGAAAAACAACGACACAATTCATAACATTATCGCAATCGCATTTGATATTTAAATCATTACTTTTGTAATTGATAATCTCTAACCATTGATTTAAAATATTTGTCAATAATTGTATCGTTAAGATGTTTTTCATTTTGTGTCTCCTGCGAGACGGAACGAACGTGTGTGACTGCAGAAATGACCGCATCACCGTTTACATCGACTGTTTTATAACGTAACATAGCCTTTGGGGTTTTCCTTACAAATACCGAATTTCTACGTGCATGGACTCTACACGGCTTTAACGTAAGCGAGAATGAGAATGAGTCATGGTGACGAGACAAAATGAACGAAGGTCCTTCACGTCATTCTCTAGTTATAGTACGTCTCCTACGGTATTTGTCGGTTTCATTTCGTAACGATATCGATCAATAAATAAATTATCTAAATGTTGATTAAAGTAAATGGTTAGTTACTTCATTCATCATTTCACGATTTCTGAACAAACTAACAATGAGAATTTTATGTCTCATTGAAAGTCCTTAGATTTAATTATAATTAGGTGCATTCCGGAAACCATTTTGAAGATAATTCTTTTAGATCATACATCAATGTATGAAACGTTAATTAATCCTTGATGTTTCTTTCATTCTTCACATTTTTATTATATTAATCATCTATATAACGGTTACTTTTTTTTCATTCTTATCCGGTTCTATATATCTTGGACAGATCTTACGTAATATATCTTTCTTTGTAATATTTAATTTAACTTTCAATATCAATCATTTTATTATTATTATTATTATTATTATTATTATTCAATATTTTGTTGTGTATGCAACATTTATTATATTCTTTGTAGATAAAAGTTTATCGATGTTTCTAAGATAATGAAATATGCTGATTATTTACGGGATAGAACAATGAATAGATTTGTTTTTTTTTCAGCAGGTATTTCAAATGACGACATTCTTTCTAATTATCGTAATTATTGAAATCGATTCTTTATTACGTTTACAATGATTACAGTTAATGTAATATATTCTCTTATTCTCTCAATCTTCCCCTGATATTTATTTTCACGGAAAATCTATTTTACATTTATTCGTACTGGAGAAAATAAATTTCCTAATGAGGGAACAGTCATTGAACCTAACCTTGGAAAACCGGAACGACTTAAGCAAACTTGGAGTTTATATGTGTTATTTTGTAAGTATTACTCTTTCAGTCATGCTATTTATTATGTTGGAATCGCTATTTATATATAATTTATTTTCATTTATTATGGTTGACTTTTCTTAACAAATATGAGTATAAATTATACTTAAGTTTTCCAAATTTTCAAATTCTATATTACTAAGAATCAAATACTTTGATTGGAACACTTTTGTAAAAGTGAAAAGAAAGATATATTATATAAAAAACAATTCAATTAAATAATATGTAAAATAAAATATATGAAATAATCAAATAATAATATATCTATCTAACATTAAGTGCATTATTTTTTAATATAATATTATATAAAATGTACTAAGATACACAAAAAAATGGAGATGCTTTCGCTTGTTTCTAAAATAACCTGTTTAAAAATAAAAAGAGAAGAAGAAGAAGAAGATGAAGAAGCAAAATCCTGTTTGTCCACATTACAAGATATCGCTATGTAATCGACCTTCGAGTATGGCAGACGTAGCATCCATTTTATATATCTGGTTGGACCAAACTCGTTCCTTCTTCCAAGTAAAAAATAAAAGAAAGTAACTACGGCTTATTAATTATTATTCTTTTTAATCTTCCTATTAACGACATGCAGCAATAATAATTATAATATACACGTATTTTCGTATAGAGAAAATATTAATTGAGAAACGCAATTTTCTGTGTGCGCACTCGCATGGTTTTTCCCGGCGTTTAATATTAATGGCAATAATATTAATAATAGGAATGATACGGCGCCTATATCTCGAGTCTCCATTAAATGATAATCTCTCTTGAATGACTTTATTAATGGGCTAACGAAAAATACGTTATTTGCTTCGAAAAATTTGCCCCGTACTTTCGTTTTATATAATAATTGATTTATTTTTAAAAATAATAATAATAATAATAATAATACGGAAGGATTCGTCAATTTGTCATTAGGTTTTCTTGAATACTCTTATTGAGAGATTACATCCTTTTAAACATTGATTCATCTGTAAATAATGAATCTCCCACGACATTACTTTATGACGTTAGATGTGTCTTTCACTTAAAATTCGAAGGCCGTATCCACGTACGTGAGTGTAAGTGCAATATTGGTACATCAGCAGTCGCCGGATATTCCTATGAATGTTTGAAAAAGAGAGAGAGAGAGAGAGATTCAGAAATCCACCTCGTTCCTCGGTGCAATTGTCACGCAAACGAACGAATGAACAAAAAAACACGCTCGAATTAAGATTTTATTCGGATTCATGCAACGATAAAGTATATTTAATTTTATACTTTTCGTTATATTATGATCGTCTTAAATTCATTCAATAAGATAGGTAATATCGAAATATAATATAGGGTATAAGATTTATTCGAATCTAATCGTGACTTAATTGATTGAACTTAAGAAAACTATGACTAAATTTATTAGAAATTTAAATAGTGTCGTAATAAATATATATGATACTATTTTTATAGAGAACAAATTTTGGCTGATATTTATAATTATAAATATAATATAATATGAAATATAATATGAAATAAAATCACTCGAAGATTTATTATATTAAAATTATGCAAAATATTTTTTTTCATATAAAGGCATATTAATGATTTTTGTCCTTTTCGGATACACATTTAAATAAGAAACAATTTATACATTTTATATACCTTTTTCTATAAAAGTGAACATGAATAATAATAGTTGTATTCATTATTACTATAGATTAAATTATTATCAAACTTTCCAATATAAAATTCCCCTCAAGTGATACTTAGAAAGATGTGATATGAAAATGCCGCTTATCATAGTCATAAATGATGTTTCTCTAATAATTGATGGAGAGGGATACCCCAAGACCGAAAAATGTAAAACGGTTCGTTGAAACGAGTAGACCTTGACAGTGCCGAGTTTACGCTTGAGTTTATACCAGTAAAAGTTTAGTCCAAAGTATCGAATAGATTTCTTTAACTATACATATTTAATCATACGTATAGATAAATTTTTATCCAAAATTTCTATGATTGTTCAAATATATATCAAGTTTATCGATATTTTACTATTCGGTATTAACAATATTAACAACTTATCGAAAGAAAATATCTATCGAAAAATAAAACTAGCCGATTGAAAATTATTGGCAATTATTCTCAGACGTAAAATCCACTTGTGTGCGGTATATAAGATCTTGTCCCGTGCAAGAGCTTCAGTCGTTCTTTAATCTTTGACCACAGAGATACTTCGATCGTAGAAGAAAAATAAAAACAAATTCGAAAAAGAACATATATACGTACTTGTACGTACATATCGTAAATTACAACCGGCCAACTTCGAAGTGAGAACCATGAGATTGTTCGTGTATTTTGTGCCAGCGTTGGTACTTATTTTTATTCAAAATTCTTCGGCAAAACCTGGTGAGTTTAAAACTCTTGCGATATTATATTGAATAATATTAACATTAAGTGACGTCAATTCAACAATTCAATTCACATTTTTTATAACTCCTCTGCTCAATATAAATACATATATATTGAATTATAGAAATAATATTTATTTATATATTAGGGATATTATATGACATAGTATTAATATAAATATCTATAACTGTATCGTTTAGGTCTTCTTGGTGACCTGAAGTCAAGTTTAACTGGAAGTTTCTTGGATCCACTTGGAATCTTATCCAAAAAAGATAAAAATGGAGCTTCTGCTAGTAGTAGTGCTCAATCGATAGGAACCAATTTGAATTTTGGACCTTTGGGCTTATCCACCAATTTGGCATCATCGTCGGCATCAGCTAATGCCGATGGAAAAGGCTATGCATCTGCCAATGCCAATGCTCAAGCTCAAGGAAATGGTTATGGGGGAGCCAACGCCAACGCTGATG